ATGCATGATAGTTGGTTGACGATGTATTTACAGTATACTATGGGTATATCTGAATATATGCATGCTGGCCGGTTGATGATGATGTATTTACAATATACTATGGGTATATCTGAATATATACTTGATAGTTATATGAATATATCATTTTATGTATGCTGGTTTGTTGTATTGCCAATATCAAATGCCTCTGAATGATTCATTTTGGGTATTTTAGTCACTACATGATGTATTCACAATACACTATACATTGAAATTCAGCTGAATATACCCACATGTGTATGTGATGTAATTATGATCAAATTTGATAGCAAAACAGCATTATTCAGATTTTTCTTATTACAAATACATTTTTTTTTTTCAGATGATGACATGCCTGTTTTTCCAGTTGAACTGAAGTATTTAGCTGCAGTCAAGGAAAGGGTCAAATTAACCAGAAAAATTGACAAAATGGATCACAAATTCCAGAAATTAAAACATCAAAATGATTGGTTTACAAGAAATGCAGAGGAACTCGATATAGAACTAGATGAAGATTGGTATCCTTTTAAGGCGGCCATATTAAAATGAAAAACAATAGCGAACTTAGAGGATCTTGTTTTTTGTATTTTAAACACTTTATTGAGTCATCCTATGGAAATACATGAAAGTTTGCACTGTATCTATATTACATATTTGTGGTGCTTTCTGGACTTGTTTGATGTGAAGTTAACCTTTTTCAGTAAAAGACTTTCTCACCAAAATTATTCTGCACTTTTTTCTTGTATACATTAATATTTCTGGAAATGAACCTTAATTTTTGAGGCAACAGACAAAATTTGAGACGATTTTCAGTTTTACTCAAAATATTTGGCTATTTTTGTCCCAATCATCTGAAGGAAAGTTCAGACTATAAACAAGACTATTTTGTGAGTTTGTGATGAAAAGAGGGAACTGGTGGTGAACAGGTTAATATCACTAAATGTGGTTGTCATAAAACTGTTAAATTTGACCTACTGTAAATGTGTTAAATCTCCGAGTGTGTAACCTTTGCATGTAGCATATAATCTTGTAACCAGCGGGGCACATTACAGTGCCAGATTAGTCCTACCATTTGTCGCTGATAGACCATTTTCCGTTCACTGCGAGAATCACGTGTTATGCGTGAAATCGAACGTAAAAACAGGACAAACAAAGGTCATAGCGTCGTAGTCGCGTCAAACATCGCGTGGGATTCGACAAACGCGAAAGTATTTCGGGGACATTTCCATGCTTAATAATGTGCTGTCCACATTTGATGATAGGCAATTTCGATTAAGTAAGGGTATTCGGAAGCAATATTCTTCTGTCGAAGATCGGCCGGTCAATGTAAGCTACGAAATAAAGAAATTCTATTTCAAAATCAAATCGTTCGATTTTTGCGGCAGACGTTCGACGCGCGTCTTTCATGCATCTCGCGAGATCTCGCAATTGTACGGAAAATCACCTATTGATAGCAATCACTGGGGATGTATGCGTTATCATATTTTTCTTAACTAACAAACCCAGTTTACACGATCTTGGGGACAGTGCAGAACAGAAAGATCATCGCAAACATTTGAAATCACTTAGAAGTAAGTAAAATCAAGGAAGTAATCTTTTCTCACTAGTTTTCTCGGTCAGTTATCAGTACTGATGAACAGTATAACAAACTGACACTTTCTTGCTGTTCTGTTTATTCTTATTAGTGTCGGTGAACATTTTTCTCATGATGCATTTTCCAAACTTTATCTTGTTGAGTGGTCTCAGACTGATGTTTTCATTGTTCAAACTTTTCACCACCAGACCAAATTTTTTTGGAACTTTTTCCTATATTCTACAATAATGCTGGTAATGAATAATTATGGATTTGACTCAAAAACATTGGTTATTTTTGTCTCAATCTTCTGAGGGAAAGTGCAGACTATAAAGAGGACTTTTTTTATAATTTTGTGATGAAAAGAAGGAACTGGTGGTTAAAAGTAAAAAACAAAAGTGTCACCGATTTATTGGCATGCTTTGAAGTTATCACCCTCTTCACCATTTTTACGTTCAACCTAAATTTTAGTGACTTCATAAAATGCACTAAAATTATTTCTCAGATTATGTAAATTTACATTTCAATCATTTAGTACCATAATGGTCATGTGTGTATTCCATTGATTCAAAAATATCAACATGTTAGTGAACCACTTGTAGTATTCCACTGCTGTATTATTGTGACCTGTGACCTTGTCTTGTAATTAAATATGTGGGCATGCTCAGTAGCGCCTAGCAACCAAGGAGCAGTCATCAGTTGGTTAAATAAACAAACCAGTCTTTTCCCTCAGATAAACTGTCTCATAATCATTATTTAAGAACATTACAAGACTCAACACTGATCTTGAAATTTCTACAAGGCACTGTTTTTGAAATTTTGCAATTGTTCACCTATTATAGAATAATACACATGCAAAAATGTACAGCGCCCTCGCAGTGAAAAGACTAAAATAACCTGAGTCAGTCTGTAAGAATATTCAACTCGTTGACAAGTTATAAATGTGCAAAATTGGATTCTTGTGAATAGTCTTGAGAATTTGGATTCTGACGGTTTCACCATTATCCAGAGAAAATATCAGACCAGAAGTGGAGATCAAGTTTGAAGGTTTAATTTTCACCAAGAAGTATATTTCTCAAAACCTGATTTATGCAAATCATATCATGAATATTCATAAATTAGTGATTCCAAACAGTTTGAGTTTTACACTTAAAAGTAATACTCGTTACCTAGTATACAGGTAGTATGCAATCAGGGATTTTTAACTTTAAAATTTTTAACAAGGGTCACAAAAGGAATTCCTACCAGTTTGTTTATCACTGAGAATAATTTTAGGTAACATTCAATAACAGTTCAATATTTTATGTTTTGTAGGTAATTTGAATTCAATGTTGAAGACCACTCTTTTCCCAAAAGGGTTTTCTGCACAGTACCCAACAAGAGGGGGTCAGTTTACCATGCCATATAAACAAGGTATTTATCCTGTTTGAACAGACTATACATTTGTCATCTTTCTCCAGGGTTTTTTAAACCCACATCCATAAGCAGCAATTTTTTCATAATTTTCAATACATGCAATGCTTGCTTCGGGCAGAAATGAACGTGCATGGAGGTAAAATGTAAATCAGCTCATATCTTCGATCCAGTCCAAAAAATGATCATGTCTAATTTTTCTCTGCAATGCATCTTTGTAGAATAGTTCTGATGTTGTCATATTCATAGTGATACACACTTTTTGTTGATTGGTTTTCCCATTTTATTTATTTGTTAGAAGACGATTTGTTTTGTTAACCTCTTTTGATCATTCCTCTTCTATGTGCATGCAAATAGGTTTTGTGTCGATGAAATTTCTATAACATTATTCCTTCTCAAATTCTGTGTTCTCAAATCAAATGTTTATCAATTTTCTACAACTTAAACACAATTTGTTCTCTCAGTTTCATCTGCAGTTGGTAAAAGCGCTACAGATGCTGTTGATGCAGTGAAACAAGGTACCCATGGAATGAAGAAAACACCTCTGGTCCGGTTTCCGAAAGGGTCAAAACAGAAAAACAAACATAAAAGGAAGAAAAAGAATAAGTGAATAAAATGTATAATGATTATATTAAACAAAAGTGAACCATTTTGATTAATATCTGATGTACGTTTTTATTGGTTTTAATTCCATCACTTGTGCAAATCATGTTCAAGTCTTGTAGGATCTCAACCAACCAGAATTCTTGTTTCAGACCACTTTCTAGTAAGACATGCACTGATTGGTGCACAAATCCCATCACAGAAGAACTGCAGTTTGAGTTGTAATTTCAGGTTCAGTCAGATGTAGAGATGATCTACTCTGGTGGTGACCGTGACTGACATCTCTGTATACATCTTATGTCAATCCTGTTTAAACCAGAATTTGATGTTAGAAAAACCTGCCAACAGACAAGCTGCTTTCTGATTGGTAGAGTTGGGTAGCCAATCACAATCACAATCTTGTATAAGGTAGATTTGCATTGACTAATAGTACATTTACATAATGTATATTCCAAAGCATATATCAGTGTCAAGTTTACAATAAAAGCCACTGTACACATTTTATTTATTCATATGAATATATTTTTTAGCCTTCATCTGTGACTGAATGAAGTTCTGAGCCATTCATATTTCGAATAGTCATAGGCAACTATTTTGTTTTTATTTAAAATTTTCCTCGCCCATTTGTCTGTCACGCTTGACCAAAAACTAACAGGGACTTCATCATTGAAAAATCTCAGCAATAGTTACCACATGGGCAGTACATGTTTGCATCAACCTCTACATACTGTCTTTGTGAATTCTTGTGATAACCTTATAGTACTACTAAAGTGGTGTAAATCTTGTGCAATCATTAAAACGACCCCAGGATTGTGTTGATCTGATGGTAGTTTGCATATGGTGAGTGTTTGAATAATTCAAATCATACCACTTGACGTTGAAACGATCTTTTGCCCCCTCCCAAACAACCTCAATTGGAAATTCAATAGCTCAGTCTGTAGTGTTCGAAATGCTTTTTTGAACTCATCAACTACAGATGTTGCACGGTTATTTGTAGCAATTACATTCTGCATACGTATAAAAAAATAGTCACATGACCAAGACTGGTACAATTTCTGCAACTTCACACATGATATGTAAATAACCAGTTTGTGCACAAGTAGATCTGGTATTTATGAACCAGGTGAATGAAAGTTGACAAAGTAGTTGAAACCACTATATATTTACGTTCAGATGATGTGCACATGTACTTTTCCACTATTGCCGCGTTACTTCAATGGTCTTGTAAACTCTGCCTTTTGTGAAATTTACAAAATACTGACAATTGAAACAGATTTGGGTAACTACAGGGACAGTTGCACAATGAGAGGATGAATTGCTTGCTGCACTATTAAAGTAGCAATGTATGATCAGACATTCAGAGAATGAACACTAAACAAATGTATATCAAGGTGTCGCAGCCTTTTATTGGTAACATACAGTGATAATCGACTACACAAGGTGACAAAAAAATTATATTTATCGCATCAACTATTTAGAGTCTACTTAAATGAAACAAATATTTCATCCAACAAAATCACCTGTAATTGGTAAACTATGACAAAACTTTCTAATCGTGGTGGCAAATCAATATCGCAATTATAATAAATTTCTTTATGTTTTTGTCCATAAAACGTCAAAATACAATATAAAATGTGCTTAACAGTAACAGACAACAAGATACAATCGGCATATTTGTGATAAATATGGATGCAACATATCCACAAGAGTTTGCGAGGATATGGAAAGGTGAATATATACTTCAAAATTGTTTAATTCATACATCAACAGTTCAAATGACTAAAACTGAGGAATAAATATGATGTGGATAAATGAGTATAAAAGTGATTTTTTTTTTCGACACTGAAGAGAAGAGATTTATATTTAATTAGCATACCACCATATAGGAGGTAGTAAAATTACTCCGAACATTCAACATCACATTTTGCTAAGCAAATACTTTACATAAAGTTAGTCTCAATATGAAACTTTCATGAATTCACTCTGGCAACCATTTTGTATTGAAATCTTGACGAATTTAAAGCTCACCACATTCCTTCACTAAGTAAAATACCAACACCAAAAACCCCTCAAAAAATTGCATTGATATAGTCATTACATTTTTTTTTCAAAAATTCATTTCAAATCTATTCGATGATTATCAAGTTTCAAAAGTCCTAACTCTACAAACATGGAAGCTATCAAAAAATTGAATAGAACAATTTTCTGACAAAAATAGCGACTAAATTTAGAAAATTTTGACAAAAAGCTGTTTATTATATGGCCAACTGTATTAACTTGATGGTTTGTCATGGACACAAGATCTTACTAAAAATACAGGTTTAATCATTGAGTGTGGTACAGCGCAAGAGTTAAAACGAGAAAAATGTGTAAAGAATTTGCATGTTATTCTTCTGCATTTTTTTTTTGTGAATTGTTGTAAACCTTAAGGAATTGCATGAACAAATCCCTTGAGAAATTATTTCAACATCGCAACAGCATGATTAAGCGTGTCACTGTTTTTAGTTTACTTTTTTTGTTCGAATCGAATGTTCTTATCCATAATTACACTAGATAATGGTTACAGTGTACTGATTTAATTTGAAATTAATAATACATTCGTACAGTTTGTTTTTAGAAAGGGTTGGTCTTCTGTTATTGCTGGACAATTTTATTAATAAATGTTGGCCAAATTATGCATTTAATGTCCATATACCAATGACATTTAAGGGAATACTACTTGACTCGTATAAATACAATAAAATTAACGAATGTCAGTTTTTTTCAAAATTAGTAAGATTGCTGTCTGAAGCAAAATTGATTTTCGTATACATTTATAACTTTCAAAGACAAATATATATCAAAACGAGTAAAATGTGTTGAGATTCTATTTAATTTGATATGGTATGGAAGAAAGTGCATCAGCAGCCATAATGGACCTAGCTTGATAAGTACAGGTAGTGGTTAAAACCAGCCTCAAATCTAGTGTGGAACCCTGTAAACCTATTCCGAAAAAAGTTTAATTTAAGAATCATATACAACCACACTAAGTTTGACGCCATAATGAATATCAATTTGTATTTATATTCTAGACGATGACATTTCTACGGACTCGATTTTCGTGGACAGACATTCAGCACCACTCGTTAGACTGGGAATAGTTTGGTGTTAAAAATGAAATTATACAAATTCTTGCAATACTTAGACAAATTGGAAGAGCTATCATCTTTAAAATGTTTTGTGGCAGTTATTAATATTCAACAAAAGGAAACCTGGTTTAATTAAATAAACACCTCTATACCGTAAAGGTTACAAAACATTAATGTGATGGTACTATAGAAATTCATTCTTTCAATGTGAAAAATAGACACCTCAATAAGGCTGGGAGTGCTAACTAAATGATTCAAGGAAATCTATAGAAATCATTGCCATGAAACAGTACTGAGAGAATTTTATTTGGCAATGTGGCAGACAAAGATTTAATAATGTATGTATGATTAGAGATATTTCATTTAAATAAGAATAGAACAAAAGATTCTCATTTGTAATTAATTTGTTTTATAAGATTGTGTACTAATTTTTATAACCATTGAAGTTGATATGCGATGACCCCATTCTGCGAGAGTAATGAATACTATGGATGCGAGTCGGTAATCACAGAAAAGTTCAATGATAGAAATGAGCAAGTTTAACCTTTTAGATGATATAAACGTACAATACAAGCCCTATAAATAAATCTCAGCTGAAAAAAAATATAGCAATTCAATTTTTCACCTATGAACTTTTCACCTATGAACTTCAAAAAATATCTTTGTCGCTTGTCAACTTCATCTATGAACCTCTGGATTAACAAATTATGAGTGTGGTCCCAAATATTTTAAGAGATCAGAAAAAATACCAAAATTACTTCACATTACAATTTTCTGAACAAAATAGAATTTATCACTGGGTGGGTATTTTTAGAACATTTTCACTACAAGGTTACATTGCATTGTGGGTACACATATGACACGAGGTAAGCAATTTATCTTAAACTTGCAATGCAATATGGGAATAACTGGCATACAATGAACAAGGTAATCATTAACATTGTGTCGGCTTTAAGGGGTTAGCATACGTTCAATGTGTTTTTTTTCAATATTTTTTTATTTTAAATTATTGATGGTTATGACAGTATCTATGACTGTGCTTTTATTCTAAACAAAAACTCCATTTTATAAGGCATATTTCGACGTTTTTTTTGATTGTTTATAAACACAGACGTCAAGTTATATATCGTGTCTCAATATAGTAGGGCAAAGACCTGTAAAAACTACTAGATAATCTTCGCTAATAACTAGCAGACCAACATTTCAGGTAAATCATAACATTTTTTTTTTTTTTTGGTACAAAAACAAGTTCCATATTCAGCATTTTCCCATAACCATTGCAAGCAGAGCCATTCTCACGTACATTCCGCATTCTGCTTGACGGAAATAAGCCGCTCTAGGATCAGAGTCAACAGCCGGACTGAAAAAGACGAAAGCAAAATACTGAGTTACAACACATCCTCTAAATCCACATAATAGAGAAAAATTCCACATTGACACCAATGAGCTTTATTAGCAAAATAACTTGATGACAGTGTGTGATAACTTGATGACAGTGTGTGATAACTTGATGACAGTGTGTGATAACTTGATGACAGTGTGTGATAACTTGATGACAGTGTGTGATAACTTGATGACAGTGTGTGATAACTTGATGACAGTGTGTGATAACTTGATGACAGTGTGTGATAACTTGATGACAGTGTGTGATAACTTGATGACAGTGTGGGATAACTTGATGACAGTGTGGGATAACTTGATGACAGTGTGTGATAACTTGATGACAGTGTGTGATAACTTGATGACAGTGTGTGATAACAGTGTGTGATAGCTTATAAAGAATGCACGCATGTACCGGTAGCTATACCATTTAACTTGCATCACTTTAAAACAGATGTGAGTACAATTCTAAAGCGTTTCAACTGAATGAGATCAAGGGAAATCACAATATGGCAGGTAGTGATACGTCCCCGAAGTCCTCAAGAATTAAGGGAAATTTGCTTAATTTATTCCTCAAAAATAAAACAGTCATACAGCAAATAGGGATGAAAATAGAGGGAGCCAGATGCTCCTACAACTTTCCCAAGGACCCTAGTTTAATTTTCCATGGGCCTGTTCCCACACATCAAAGTTTTATCTTTATATTATGCAAAATGCGTCACGAAGGCACGCTGACTCCTAGCGAAATATACATGCAAGGCCCCCTTCATTTCATGATGGTCTTCCAAGATTTTGTTCTGTACAATTCTACACTTTACTTAGATCCCTTGCAAATATGAATTTTAATATGCGTTGTACCAGAGGTACATTACTTGGGGTTTGCAACTACAGTGACATGATACCAAGATCCCGTCACAATCTCGCTCTCGCATAAGCGTTCCAACTCAGAAAAATGCGCATGCCCAAGGTAACTAGGATACTGAGATGTCCAGGTGGATCAAAATAGCTGCCCACGATATGACGGATTACGAGAACTATATTTTCTGTACATTTTCCATGTATTACATTTTTCACTGATAGTGGCAAGAAAAGTGTTATTTTTTCATTACAAACCTTGAACATTGATATATATCATGTCAGAAGGTCGTAGCCTCAGTCTCGCTATCTACGAGAAGAGACTTGAATGGGATCTTGACATGATGTCACCATACAGTACTATGCGAGTTGCAAACCCCAAGTAATGTACATTGTACCTCTGGTTGTACTCAAATTCAAATATTAACAGGTAGTCTCTAAAAAATTGGGGCAGCAAGTTAGCAAACTTGCTCAAAAATTCGTTAACCACATTGATTTTTTTACTAAAGAAGATGACTTACTATTTGAATCTAGTCATTTCTAAAAAAAACACAATATTTTAAATAACTTTATGAAGTTTCACAGAAAGTTTGCAAACTTGCTGCCCCAATACTTTCAAGACTTGCTGCAATTTAAAGGGGAGACTGCTATAATTCTGACCTGATTTCATTCACTCTTGGCAACGGATGCATCACCACCATCCTGTCTTTAGCACGGGTCATGATATGCGGAGTCAAGACAAAGTGACCAGCAACCTAGAAAATAAGACATTATAAATGAGAACATTACATTACACAAATCAAACAACTTGACACTGGCCTAGAGCTATAGCATACCAAGCTTTCAAAATCACAAAACATCTTACAGCAATTCCAGGCACTGATTTGACGCAGAAGTAGTGAAAGCGCTTGGAAAGAAGCTAAACTCTTAAAAATTACAGAGTATTCTGACTACATATGTGTAATATTAGTAGTATCAGTAAATATTGATGATAACGATGTACATTTTTAAAAGTAAGAGTTTTCATGAGAAAAAGCAAAAGCGTGGAAGTTAAGTCACCATCACGCTGTACTGCATGAACATACATAAACCGTAAACAGGGAGCATTTCATTAATGTTTTTAAGAGAGGAAGCCACAATTTGTCCCTGTGTACACTGTGGTTATTAAACTGCGTACATTTCCAGAAGCAGTAGCTACATTGTCAATTGCACTTTTATGATGCACATAGTGGCCACTGCTGACTAATTTGCATTCCAAGCCTCATTTTCATGTCCCCTGCAACGATACGTATGGCGAGCTACTGATATGTTCTATCAATGTGAAAGCTGGGCTTGAAAGTCAAATTTGTCGGTAATGGCCGCCACATGATAAAAGTGAATTGCACCATTTCACGTCAATTACACATTGGATAGACCCTGCACTGCAACGGTTTCTATTTTTTTAAAGCAGGTGCAGTTAAAAATCAACTACGTAATCAATTCTAGTTACATGTCAACATCGTCAAGACGTGAACGGAATGTAATACTGTACGACACATACCCTTTTATATTCGTCCTCTGTGTTGAATCTTTCTCTCTGTATACGCGTCATATATAAAACGTCAGTGCCTGGCAGCGCTTCTTCTATCGATGTATATTCCTCCTATTGAAATGTACAATTTTGATTACATGCATTTTTGTTGACATCACAAGTTTTTGCTGAATGAGCTTTTTTTTTTTTTACTCTTTAATAGCTTGTAAATTTCTATTGCCCTTATGATTATTATAGGACCTAACAAGCACAAGTCTTGCAATAAATAATTCATGAAAAAAAATCTAGCCAAAGACCATTTATTCGGCTGAAGCCTTAGATTTCACCACGATTTACTGTATGTTGCGTGCCCTTAAACAATGATGAGATTCACTTCAGCTCATTTGCATCATCGAATCAGAACTCACGATAGAAACGACACATTACTTAATAAAATTAAAATGGTCCAATATAGAAATGAATGTGTCGCTAGCTTTTTCTCTGAATGAGCTTACTGACCATCCAAAGAAAGCGCTTAGTGCTGTATCTATATGGAAATAATGTGTTTGTTGCAACGAAGAACGGATCGAACAAGTACATATGTTATCAGTTTCGATAGTTTTGTCAGTTTACATAGTGTAATCTGTTTCAAAGTTTTTTTTTATTATACAATTCTGTCAATAAGTATTGTGTAACCTTACCTGGGCAATACCTTTCTCACTAACATAGTCATACACAGGTCGGGGCATTTTCAGATTGGCAGGGGACACGTAGCGTAGCTGGATTTTGTACAGTGTTAATAGACGAGCCAATGAATGTACAGTGCGACCGTGCTTCAGATCACCGACCATCGTGATCTGTAAAGAATATCAAAGACAATTGTAATTTGGAAATGGCATCAATATCAGCAAGATTATTCACTACACGGCAGGGCATGTCATTTAAATTTAGACTCAGGTGTGATCACTATCATTCTCGCAATTGAGATATTTTAATGAGATTTATGGAGCATAAGCTCACTTAATTGCATTTTCAAATGACAGGGCCTGACATGTCAGATGACAATTACATTAATCCTTGCTCACTGTGAACTTTCTTTTAAAACATGACAACCATATGTTGGAAATATCACTATGGATTGACCCAAGAATTAAATTAATACCATAAACCTCAATTTGTAAACTCGAAAAAAAGAATCAAGTTGTTCAGTTTAAAATTGACAGGAGATACGAGGGTTAATGTTTTGGGAAATAAATATTTTCATGTCAACAGATAGAGGTCTTTAATTACACTGATTGTCGTAATAAACTCCTCTGCACTTAGTAGTGTAATGCCTTGAACTTGAAGATTCTCAAAGTATTATACAACTTTTAACCAAGAAGTCTAACAGGCACCCACAATTGTATTTTTTTTTTTTAAATTTCAAAACACTTTTTGGCAAGTTGTTTGAACACCACAGTAATGTGCAAGTGATTGGAAATGGTAGACTAAAACATTCCAGCTGGAGTGACCTTATATTGCCGGTACTACACAGTTTTGGCTGCTTGTTATTGTTAACTGATTTGTAACTTGTACTGACAAATTTTGGGTACATTTTTAACCAATTTTTGCAAGACATCTCAGCTTTTCAAATTGTTACGTTGATGTCCATAGAGAGTCTATAATTGTGGTGCGAAACCTAGATGTAAAATTATGCACTTTAAAATTGGCGTTTCGTGATATTCCAGGAATCATAATACACCTCACAGATAGATGGCACGTTGTTACCAGTGAATAAATCTACATGTACTTACAGTCAAATTATTGACAGTACCGATTTCTTCTCTGATGGTGAAAACGTCCAACAATGCTTGCGTGGGATGTTCTCCTACGCCGTCACCAGCATTGATAACTGGTCTGGTAGCGTATCTTGCGGCATCACAGACGCTACCCGGTTGGGAATGACGTAGGACAATTACATCACTGTACCCTGCCATTGTCTGTATAGCATCTGTAAGACAAAGTACAAATCTGTTAGGGCTGATCTCATATTCAAACATGCGGGTCAAACCTATGAAAACCTATGAAAACCCAAACCGCCCTAAACCGCCCGAACAAAACCCAGTTTTGCGGTTTGGAAGTTTAAACAGTAGACAGTGCGGTTCAGGACGACCGCACGAATTTGCATAAAAACTGCGGTTCGAACTGATCTCATTCACACCTCATTCAAGCTGTTGTTTATTTTTAGGATTGACAGAGTTTACATTGCTTTTTGAAGACTAGATAGTTGTCTCTAAAATGTGTCGATTTATTGGTGCACAGTAGTCATTTTACCGTGTGCCTTGCCTAAAAAAACACTCTTTTATATATCGGTGAACAGCGTGCTGAATAAATTGTTTTGTTTTGATAAACTGTTATGCTCAAGTCTCAAATTGAGCAGAGGACGTGAATCAGACTTTTCATTGGGCTGGACAATTGATATGTATCAAAAGACGAACATTTGTTGATACAACGTTGCACTTGAGACTTACGCTACTGTGTTCAAGCCTTTACTACTGTTGTGCGTTCAATTTTCAGTTCTTTCAGGAGTGCGGCATCGCAAAATCCGGAAAAACAAATGCAGCGTACGCCATGAAAATTTATTTTGATTTGCTGCACATAGGTTATTTGCAGTTTTCTTATTCAATTTCTAGTGACACAAAGTATCAAAACAGAAAATTAAATTAAATTAAATGGACTCGCGCTGATTATTTACGGCTATTCATCTGCAGACGAGACTGCTAATAAAAAACGAACCCTGACCTCTGAAAATACCTTATTCATAGAGTGCCTTGTACCTAAGACCATCGCCCAGGGCGACATAGTGCACGTTGCGATATCGCAATCGATGCATGCTGGGTGACAAGGGGAAATCCAAGATGGCTGCGTTGAGAGCATGATTTTCTGCGGTATTTAAAACAACACCTCGCTGCCTACTTCGCCCACAGTCCCTCAAGGCACTGTGCTTTGATGTATTTTCTAAAATAATCGTTTATTTTCAATTAACCGTGGGTTCGAAATGTGTGCATTTTGTCACAGAAAAGTTAGATATCGACAGCGGTAAATACCCGTAATTTCCCCGCAATGCCGTCAGCTGACAATGTTACAGTGGTCGTAGCGCCAGAGTCGTAGCATTAGCCCAGACTTTAGTTTTGACACAGTGATAGAGGGACTGTGGTTTTCAGATGCCTTCATAGAAAACAATGTTGCCATTATCGATTTAATACTTTCATCATATTTTGATAACTCGCAGTCTCAGACTTTGCAAACTTAACCAAAAAATGTGTTCTATGAATTTTTGAACTGACATGGACACAAAACTGACCGTACTTTTTGCAGACAAAATGTACCAGTTCGCTCCATGGATAAACATATTTTACTGACTATGCCAAATATATATATAACGTAAGTAATTTATCCTAAGAAGCTGCTCATTAAAATTCTAGTGCATCTTTTCCCTGTTCTGTTTCAAACATTAATTTACCATATATATCACAATAGAGAGGGTTTATGGTATCACTTGATTCACATTTAATGACAAAATATAACAAACCATCACGTCTGTAATTAATTCCAGATAAATTGAATAACAATAACAATTGTATTGACTTGTACCAAAATGTAAGTTGTGGGAAACTGATTATTATTACCAATCACAGAAATAAATATAATTTTCATCACATTTATAAATGACATGATGTAAATAGATTTGTGAAACAAATGCAAGTTTGTTTTCATTAGCATTTACATGTACAAGACTTGCAGAGAAAAAAAAAAAAAATCGCTGCTGTAATTCTTAACACTTCAAAATATAACACTCAGTATGAACATGGAGCTCCATAGTATACATCTTATTTTTTTTCCTACTGAAACCAGGCTGAAACAGTATTGTAAGAAAAACCTAGGTTTCCCAAGGTCTGTCTTCTTTGTTCTCTGTTGTTTGTTTTCAGTGGGGGCGTTAATGGGCAGTTAATCCAGAGGTTAGGTTCAAACCTACTACTAATTTGCATATTGTAGGTCTAGTAGGTCTGAATAGGGCAGGCCGGTTTTACCCAGGTTAACCCAGGTTTGAGCCAGGTGTTTGAATATGAGATCACCCCTTAACACTAAATATTATTTTCAAGTTATGTTTGGCATTTCTCGAGATTCAATATCACTTTTGTCTTAAAAGAATTTGTACGTGGACATTGTAAGGGTAAGCAGAAACTATACGCCAGGTTTACAGTGTTCAAACTAAGAATATGGCTAATATCTGAGAGGAGCAAAACAACCACTCAACGGAATATAGTCATCAATGGTGATTTACAGCGAGTGTAAAGTAATAATATTTCCTTGATAAGCACTGTATGATATTTACAATAGTGCAATAAATTATTTTCATCATAAACAGCCAGATGTTTGTTCTGAGTTTTGGTGTACACTTACAGCTTGGATTTAAAAAAACAACAGGAGCTTGAGTTTACCCACTTATCTTAACTTTGCGATGCATACATTTTGGTTTCTATTCTACATTTATACATTGACACTTGCATTTCCTCGCATTTTACTGAGACGATATAAACCATGGAAAAAAAATCTTAAGTCTGGGGAGAGCTGTATTAAGTGACAGCAGCGACCAACCACAAGAAATCAGAATCTTAATATAAGGAGTACCTTAAGTTTCATCAAAACTTGAAAACAAAAGATGACGAAAGTAGGTCTCACCTTGTAGTGTTTCTCCTTTTTTATGGGATGATGCGCTTTCATTAAAATTCAACACTGTACCACCTAATCGATACATGGCAGCCATGAATGAACTACTGGTTCTAGTACTGGGTTCATAGAACATACTGGCCATCACTTTACCCTGAAAACAAAAACAAGAAAATTCAATTAACACTGATTTTTTATTCATACCTCCAATACATAACTTGGTCAATTATTAAAACTGTATATTCATAGAAACTGGTCATCGGTAAATTTGTAAAATTTAATAATGTTGCAGTTTCTAGTACTTTTACAACTATATTTACCTTAAGAATATAGTCCAATGATCTGTCTTTCTGTACCATTATCCTCATGTGGTGGGCCACATTGAACAAATGATGCAACTTGAAAATAAATAAATAACATTGTGAGAGTCAGAGTCAACAACATGGCATTCTTAACATTTTCACAACCAGAATTTCTCACTCTAATTTTTCTGCACTTTCTTTCTTGTATTTTTCAATATGTCTGGGAATTGATCCTTAATTTTGGAGCCAAGAATTTGAGTCAATACACCTTAATGTCTAGATTCCCCTGAATAATTATGGTTTGTAATGCGAGACGTGACAATGTAAAAACCTGCGGTTTATTCAAAACCCATTCATTTAGCCAATTTACTAGCGAGTTTTCAAATCGACTGCCCCAATACTTCTGAGACTCGCTGTAACAATATTCTTCTAATAACATTATATTCATACTCAACATGTATTATCATGTATTTTAAAGTACCGGTAAAAATTTGTACCAAAATATAAATCAAAAATTGTACAAATCCAATAATTTATAATAAATTGGTACAAAACTTGTTTGAACTGATCTGAAATAATGTCATCTTGGCGATGCTCACGAAATATTTGGATTGTACAAACCTGTTTGTTTACCTAATCATACCGACCAGAAAGTCGGTGGAAATAATAAATTCCATTTATTACTCGTAGGCTTAAGATTACAGCCCCAATCGGACACTGTAAGGGAATATACCCTGTTCACAAAGAACACCTTAGGGTAGCATTCCCTAGAGAAAAAAAAATCTCTCCATAGAGGCCACCTCGCATGCGGGGTGGTCACGCTTACGAGGTGTGATCCGATAATCCCACAAATGTTTCCGCTGCCACAACGAGCCGCCGGAAGCTTGTGGGGAGGTGGGTGTGTTCCACGAACTTTCTGGTAGGTATGATTAGGTAAACAAACAGGTTTGTACAACCCTAATAGTTTACCTACCAGAAAGTCCATGGAAACAAGTCATTGAAAATGACAGTCCCCGTTAAGTTCTCCTTGTGCTAGTCATATTAAAGCGGAGGGGTTGTCGCGAGTGTGTCCTTGAAACTTGAGTTCCAAGTGGCGTATACAACAGATTGTTTATTTACATCAAAACATGTGTTTCATGTCATAGTAATATGGCCAAAAATAAAAACAGCCGTTATTCGGCCATCTTTGATCTGATTATGAAACACACTGATATGTATGATGTATGTGCCAAATACGAATGAAAATGGTACATAAATTGTGGAAATATAGTAGTAAGGCCAAAAAGTCAGATGGCTGTCAATCGGCCATCCTTGACCAGATTTTGAAACAAATTGTCATGGACATGCATCCTAACCTGTATAAGTACATGTATGTGCCAAATTTGAATGAAAACTGACAAAGCACGTCCAAGATACCGCATAAAAAAAAAACAAGATGCCTGCCAGTTGACCATCTTTGATCCAATTGCGAAATAAATCGTCATGGACATGTATTCTAACATGTATAATCTATGTACCAAGTTTGAATGAAAACTGACAAAGCATGTCCAAAATACAACATTTTCAAAAAACAAGATGGCTGCCAGCCGGCCATTTCGAATCGTTAAACCACTGCATGTGCACATGTCCCACATAAAGTACTAGACACGTGCAAAGAATGAACGTAATCAGTCCAAGCGATTCTGAGATACGACGACGGACGGAGACCGAACGGGGACTAATAAAAAATTCCATTTATTACTCACAGGCAGAGTAGCATGCTCACTGGAGGTGGGGAAGCTCCGACAGCTGAAAAGTATATTTTTCGACCTCAAAAAGGAAGGTCCAAAATCAAAAATGAGAAATCTAAAGCTACTCACCGACAAGGAGTCTAGTCCCAGGATAAAACCAATTAGGCGACTCTCCAGGGACCAGGTGCCCGAGGCTAGATCCCCAATTTAGGGAGGCTACTAAAGCCGGTCCACTGAACAATAAATAGGGCCCCCAACAATTTTAATGCATTGAAACAGTATATTGCTCGGGTTCGATAGCGCTGAACAAAAACCGGTAGCGTCAAGCAAAGGAGGCTGGTTTTGACTGAAGGCACTATCGCGCTAATGCTTCCGCGCATAGAGCCCCTTGGTGGTGCGGGCTGGGTTAGCAAACAGTCTGACCCTTCACCACTGGACCCAACCTGTAGAGGCCCTCCTGCAGTGCTGAGAGGTTTCTCAGGTAATAGTTAATGAAGACATTCTGAGATCTCCAGAACCCTGCTCGAAGCACCTGCTCGAGCGAGGCCCCAGACATCAAATCCAATGAGTTAGCTACCCCGCGCACCTCGTGTGCCTTCACCTGGTGGCGTTCCAAACGGACCGATGAAGAAGCAGTTAACCAATACGCTTCTACGACCATATCAACAATCCACCGCGAAATGGTGATATTCGAAGCAGGGTGGCTCTGTTTGCCCGCCTATAACAGACAAACATGCGCTTCTCACTGCTCCTAGACACCTTGGTGCGGTCGTAGTACCAGCTCAGAGCTTGGACCCGGCATAGAATCCATTCCAGACGATCCTCCTTGCCCACTATGCAAGTGTGGCATAGGATGGCAGTTGGCTGGGATTCCTGGCAAGAAATCCCAGCCGAGTCTTCAAAATAACCAACGAGTTCATAAAGGAGGCACATCCGCCACTAAAGGACAGGGACCCTATCTCTGAGCACCGCCTACATGATGCTAGAGCCAACAAGAAAACTGTTTACCTAGTGACAATTCAGCGTCTGCCTTATCCATAGGCTCGGAGGGGGGGGGTGTCGTAACGCTGTTAGACCAACGACAAGTCCCAGTCAGGAAAATTAGCTAGCCCCTTGGCGCGTGGACCCTTCGAGCGGAAAGACTAATCAGTTGTAACATAATAGAACTCAAAACCAGTTTCAGTCCAACAGATTCTATAAAACTGGGAATACAATGTAAAACTGACCGATATCCAAGAATTGTCGATATAGATTTTCCTTGATCAAAGATATAGGAAACAATCGGCTACCTCGCTAATAGAGGGACTGAGATGATCAGTCTCCCTTCCGTCACACCAGTCAATATACGGTCTCCATCTGGAATCGTACAAACGTCTGGTGCCATCCGACTGTGCCAAAGCAAGGAACCTGGACAACTCTGCAGAAAAGCCTAGTGCTTGCACGAGTTTATTGATCACCTCCACGAGCGAATATGGAATAGCACGGGGCTTATCGGTAGAGTGCCATCCGGCTGGGACAACAGACCCGGAAGATCCGGCAACCCCATGGAAGACTCGACTAGAAGTTCCAGCAACACTGGGAGCCAGAACTTCACAGGCCAATAGAACACCACCCAAGTCAGGAGACAGGTGGGCTCGAGTCACAACTTCTCCAACACTTGGTGCCCAGTTGAAAGTGTGAAAAGTGCAAGCGCTTGTCTCCGGGAGGAGCGACATGAACGTCGTGAGCTAGGCATTCCAGTGATTGGCAAACAGAACTACCTGGGGCATGTCCCAGAGACAAAATTGTCGGTCCGCCACCCATTGGGGGGGGGGGGGGGGGGGACTGCCACTTGGTGTTCTGGAACCAAAAACATCTCGAGAATGCGCCCGCTGCTGTTGCGTATCCCTGGAAGGTGGTAAGCCGAAAGCTCAACCTGGTTATCCAGGCACCAAAGAAAAATCTCCTCCGCTAGCTTTGACAATGTGAGGGAACGCTTCCCTCCCTTCCTTGATGTACGACACTGACGTGTTGACTGTCCGAAGCC